AGTTTCTAATTTATCATAATCTTCTAAGGTTAGGAAGTTTGTGTCATATGAAGATTTCTGATATGGACATCAAAAATCAATAGGCCTCATTTACATGTCTTAGATTCTTCAAGGTTTCAACCTCTACGTTCCCATATATTTAACTTATATGTGTCATTAATTTAAAATTATTTGTGAGCATGTTATATCCACTGAAATAACTGTTTACCAATCTCGTGTACTCTGCTGGGAAAGCTGAGAGAATGGTCAAGATTTCAGGCCAAAGAAGTAGAGCTCCCACCGGCACATGTCATCATGACTTTTTCTCACCTCTGGTCCCATGAAAGAGCAGATTATACCAAAATGCTAATATTTCAAGTTCAATTCTACCTATAAGGTCTTCAATATTAGGCAACCTGAAATCTAACCACTTTCCAAAATGCTTTATTTCACCCAATTCTTCTTTGGTCCCCTTCTTCCTCTGATCTCGTCTCTGCCTCACATGTGGGTTCAGGTTGGGGTGCACCTAGAAGCCTCTCCTGCATTCCTGGCTGTCCCAGGGGAGAAGGAACAAGACTCTCACTGCATCTGTGGGAATGGACGACAAACCGTGTCCTGGGCAGTAACTCCAAAGTCATTAGGTGACAGACATATTCCTAAAACTACTCAATCCTACTCAAAGATTGTATGTCAGTGGGATTCTTATATCTAGTTCTACTTCCCTCAGGCAAAGACACCCCCTCCCCAGATGGTAGGATTTTTTTCCTTTGTGTTTTATTCTAGGAGGTCTAGAAGGATATTTTTACTTCCCTCACCTCCATTTCCACCTCAGATGCTCAGTATCATTATTCTCTAGCTTGTGCTGCTTCTATTCCTGCTAATATGTTTTTAAAACACGACATAAAAAGGGGGAGGGGTATAGGACATTTCTAAATCTTGGGGTTTAGAGGATAGAAGAAAGGGGAGGTAGTGCTCATGTCTGCTGGCCCTTCTTTCAGGGACTGTGAATTTCACCGTGAACGCAGAGGCACTGGAGTCTCAAGAACTGTGTGGGACTGAGGTGGCTGTGGTCCCTCAATATGGAAAGAAAGACACAATCATCAAGCCCCTTTTAGTGGAAGTGAGTAAGCCTGCCCATATATAGGTAACAATGTGTTAATGAAAACAATGCTGAATGAAATTCAGATTATGACTTTTAGGTAAGAAGGGCTACAAAATATATG